CTATCCAATTACAAGATCGTACGACAGCCAACAACTTATTTCCTGTCCTCCAAAGCGCATATCGGCAGAATCACAGCACTGAGACGGCGTTATTAAAAGTTAAAAACGATCTTCTGCTAAATATGGACAAAGGTCACGTCACATTGCTTGTTATGTTAGATCTCAGCGCTGCGTTTGATACCGTAGATCACGGTATTCTTCTGCACAGGCTGCAGTCCAAGCTCGGCCTTCGGGATAAGGCTTTATTGTGGTTTAAATCTTATTTGGCGGGAACAGCGCAGCAGGTCTCAGTTGACGGATCGCTCTCTAATAAATTTAATCTGACTTGCGAGATCCCACAAGGTTCTTGTTTGGGCCCCCTCTTATTTACCATCTACGTGAGTTCGCTGTTTGACATCATGAAATCTCATCTGCCATCCTTTCACACCTATGCGGACGATACGCAGCTATATATATCGTTTAATCCCGTTGATAAGACCAGCGAGGCTGATGCTGTGATTGCGATTGAGAACTGTATTCGTGACGTTCGCGCATGGATGAGAGATGATGACTTAATGCTAAATGACGATAAAACTGAGTTCTTGATCATTGGCACGGAACGACAGTTATCAAAGGTGTCCGTTGACAAGATCAAGATTGGCCAAGCTGAGGTATCGCCTGCCTCTTCAGTGCCCAATTTGGGCACCTGGTTCGATTCTCATCTGGACATGTCGACTCATGTGTCTAAGACTTGTTCTAGCGCGTTTTATTATTTGTACAATATCCGGCACATTAGGAAGTATTTGTCTCGTGAGTCCACCGAGAGGCTTGTTCACGCGTTCATCACAAGCAGGCTTGACTACTGTAATGGTTTATTGTACGGTGCTCCTGAGTATCAAATTAAGAAACTTCAAAGAGTCATGAATGCCAGTGCTCGATTGGTTTACTGCGCACCTAAGTATTGTCACGTCACTCCTTTGCTAAGAGAACTCCACTGGCTACCAGTGCGCTTGCGCGTAGATTTTAAGATTCTCCTTGTTACATTTAATATTCTTCACGGTGTTGCGCCTAGCTATCTTAAGGATCTTGTCTCTGTCTTACCGGACTCACGTTACCAACTACGCCGTAACAATAATGGTATATTGTTAGAAAGACCTTGGCTAAGAACGAAGAAGACTATGGGAGATCGCGCGTTATCGATGGCTGCCCCCTTTTTATGGAACAGTCTTCCTCTGCCAATAAGACAGGAAACATCAATCGACTCTTTTAAACGCTCTGTTAAAACATATTTATTTAAGAAGGCTTTTAGTTAGATTATTTATTTATTTATTTATTTTTAAATATTGTAACTTTACCGGGTAATTTTACTGGCTTTTAATTTAGGTATTAATAATATTGTAATGCGCTTTTGAGTATTTTTATAGAAAAAGCGCAATATAAGTATTAAATATTAATATTATTATTATTATTAACTGTATTCGCTGCATCTTCTTTGCAAACAAAAGAGAAAGTCCCACACCGTACTTTACACTATTAGAAATCTTAAAGTTAGAGAATATCTTTAAATTAAAAGTTGGCGCTCTTGTTCATACAATTCAATATCAAAAAACGGATTCACCTCCTGCCCTCTATGACTTAGTTCAACCGGCTTCAGCTGTCCATAATTATAATACTAGGTATCCCATTAATCAAAACCTGTGTAGACCGTTTTCCAGAACTAATTATGGCCTGGCAAGGTTTAGTGTAGTGGCATCGAAGACCTGGGAAGCAACACCTACGAAAATTAAGTGTCTCTCCTAGAAGAGTTTTAAAAAAGAATATAAACTCTTTCTACTTGACAGTTAGGCATCTTGAACAACTCCAATCTGTTATTTAGCTCTATTTATCTAATTACTTAATTTAAATAGTTTTTTATAAGTACTGTATAATCTCCACCCACTTGCAACCGCTCTGTGGTAGTAGCCAACTCGAAAGCTTGGCTCCTTTGGCTGCTACACACTTTTTCCTTTGTTATGTTTAATTCAATGTATAGTTAGCTCTGTTTTTTATTCTTCTTTTTTTTCTCCTTGTTGTTGTATTGTAATTGAATACGTGTGAATAAATGAACTTGAACTTGAACTCAAAGAAACAAGTCAATAACTTCAATTGCTGTACAACTATGATATGCTAATGATTTTTGAACAAGGCATTAGAGGAGGAATAACTCATATTTCAAAGAGATATTCAGAAGCCAACAACAAATACATGAAAGACTTTGACCCTAAAAAGCCATCCAAATTTACTACTTATCTTGATGCAAATAATCTTTAAGGATGGGCAATGTCTCAACGACTTCCAACTCACGGGTCTAAATGGATGAAAGACTCAGAATTAACAAATGATGAAGTAATAAAACTATGGAAATCTCATAACGATTACCTTCTTGCTCCAGAGAAAATGAAGATTGATACAACTAATAACTTGTTGGAAACTTTTATCCAAAATATCACTATGTTTTACATTACAGAAATCTTAAACAATATCTTGAACTTGGAATGGTACTTAAAAAAAGTTCACAGATGGATGGAACCATATATTAAAAAGAACACAAACCTTAGAAAGACAGCTTCAAACAGTTTTGAGAAAGACTTTTTTTAAACTCATGAACAACTCAGTTTTTTGAAAAACAATCGAAAACATCAGAAAGAGACAGAACGTAACATTGATAGATGATGGAAAACAAGCAATCAAACTGTCGTCAAAACTAAACTTTGACTGTGCTACAATATTTCATGAAACTTTTATTGCAGTACAGTATGAAAAAGACAGAAGTTTTTTTTTTAAGTCAAGCAATTCTTGATTTGTCAAAAACATTAATGTTTGACTGTCATTATAATTACATTAGAGAGAAGTACGGAAACAAAGCTAAGTTATTATTTACTGATACAGACTCATTAATGCATGCAATAAAAACAAGATTTTTACAAGGATATATCTAATGATATAAGAAAAAGTTTGATAAAAGTGATTATCCAGAGGCCCATCCAACGGGCATTAAGGCAGGAATAAATAAAGAAGTGATTGGCAAATTTAAGGATGAAGCTTGTGGACATTTTGTTGGACTCAGAGCAAAACTTTATAGTTTTAAAGTTGATAGGTTAAATGAAGAGAAAAAGTGAAAAGGAATTGAGAAAAATGTTATAAAAAAAGAAACAACATTTGAGGATTATAACATTGCAGGAAGATCGCATGGGTTTGAGATTGCAGGAACAGTCCGAGGAAGATACCCTTGTATACCAGACAGGGCACCGTGATAAGGGAATTTCAGCTGAGTGTGTCATCCAGAAAGTTAAATTAAGAAATGGTCAACGTGCAGCGTGCAACCATGGAGTTATGGATGCACGCGGGAGGTTGCTAAGCACGAAAGAAGCGTAAGAGTTGCACGAGGTGACAGCTGAGTGCAACTCTGGCTTCTCGAGTGCTTAGCAAACCTCCCAAGTGCATCCATAACTCCATGGTTGCACAGCTGCAAGGTTTACCATTTCTTTTATAACATAATCAAAAGAGAAAACGTTTCTATTTGCCTTCGGTTGAGTCCTCGGTATGAGTTCATGTGCGTTGTCATCTGCCCGCGCGTAAACAAATCATGTTTTTCAAAAACTTGCCTTTGAGTTTTGCTTTCCCTGGAACAACCTGTAGTTCCAGTTTTTTGGTGTTCTTTCTTATGCCTAAATTCGGTTTATTATTCAAACGACCAGCGGAATTTTACTTACGCCCAGGACCGCGCAGTTGTGAACATGTGAAAAGGTGCTCGCAATGCTTGTGCCAAGTTTTAAGTTGTATTTGTTTTTGCATTTAATAATCGGTTTTCACCGTACTCGCTGGACGTCTTAACACGTGTTTGTAAGTTTCCTTTGTTAGCGTTTTCTGTATCTCGTCGCTTTTAAGTGTTAGTGTAAGTTTTTCATTTTATTTCTGTAATCTTCATGCATTTTGTATTCCATCCAGAAACCGTGTTTATCGTGAAGTTGATTATCGTACATGAGTTTGACACGTAAGATCTCCCTGTAGTTCCGAATTTCTGGTTTTTGGCGACTACCTTAGTTTAAACACGTGCCGGTGTCTCCATGGAATACAAAGCAAATGCAGTTAGCGATGAAATGTTTGGTCCGCGCGGTGAAGAAGCCAGACATGTGCAAGAATGTACCCAACTGAAAAGAACTAGAGCTGGTTTTATGTCAGTGCTTACGAGGAAGAGGAATGAACTCTCTGAATTATCACAGGTTGGTGCTGACGTTGATTGTGTAAAGAACAAAGTATCTGAGCTTAATCAAGCATTTGAAAACTTCAAGGGAGCTCATGAGTTGTACACCAAGAGTTTTCTTGATGTCGGTAGTATTAAATAAGCTTATGAGTATTTTCACACCGAGTATCATGCTGTTAGTCGTTTGAAAGAAAAGATAGCTGGTTGGATTGTCGGTGTTGAGTGTGCAAATCCAAATTTGCCTGGCACTAAAGTTTTACCTGAAGATTCAGTCAGTCAGGCAGGTATAGGTGGTAGATCTGTGGCCAGTAGTAGCAAAGCAAGTTCTGTGAGACGAAATCGAAGATATGTTGAAGAATCAGCCAAAAGAAGAGCCTTGGACGCAAAGCTGAAGTTGTTTGAGGAGCAACAAGCTTTAGCAGAAAGAAAATTCCAGTTGCAGAAGCAAGACAAGAGATCAAAATGAAGTCTGATCTTATCCAGATAGCAGCAAAGGAGCCAGTGTATGCAGAAGCAGATGCTTTGGAAAGAGGTCAGCGGTCAGGAGCCAAGATGGACGTTTAATTTTGAGCTCCCGCTTCTTACCTTTATGAGTCGTTTTTCTACTGTCCTTTTGTTAATAATTTTCACTGAAATGATTAAGCCATCGTCTTAATAAGCTTAGCGCTGAAGTCACACGTGTTGGCAACGTCATTGACGAGGTTGAGGAATATTGCCAGAGAATAGCAGTGAGACCGCAGCTGAAACAAGTGCCCTGTGCGTAAAATTATTCCAGGAGATGGGGGCAGAAGTGTTTCTGTCGGGCATTGACCTTGCTCATCGCGTCCCCTTGAGGCAGCAAAATGTCGCTCCGAAACCAATCATCTGTAAATTTGTAAGACGCATTGCAAAAGCAAGTGTCATGGAAACTCGACAAAGTGCCTCTCAAGTCAACCCATCAAATATCGGTCTGTCTGCTGATAGTGTTCTTGACAAGCCAGAATCTTCGATCACCTCACCCCCAAAAAACAATACCTGTTGTTTGAAGCGAAGAGATTTAAAGAACAGAACCAATACCGCTTCTGCTGGGCCAAGAATTCCATGA